AAAGCAGGCATTAAAACAAAATCTCGTTCCTATTATAGGGAAGGCCTAAGAGTATTAAAGCACATACACACACACACACACACACACACACACAGTACCTGTATATCAAACTAGATCTATAGATGAGGTGTGAAATGAATTTTCTTTAACATAACCTCTGGTCTGAACAGACTCTACACACACTATAAAAGATTTGTTGCTGTTTTTGCAAATAAAAAGCAAAGTCTCATAAAAATTTCAAAGCGAGTAATAAATCATAATTCATGAGAGGAATACTCGTTTAATTGTCTATTCATTAAAACTGATTCTTCTCTTTAACTGAAAATATTTTAGATTTTTTTTCGTATAAACCAAATATTTATTTTCATATTTCTTAACTATTTATTAGAATATTTATGCATATTTGTTATGGCAATACTTGAACTAAACTAAACACTAAGTTCTTGAGAAATTAATTCATTTTGATAGTAGAAGCCAATTAAATGTTTTATATTTGCTTTCAATTCTAAAAATTTAATATTCACTAATCATTTTTATTGGAGATTCAACAAATTCTTGTGCACTCCAAATTTTATTCATTAAAACATGAATTATTCAGAATTTGATAATTTGCAGAGATAGAGAGTTTATGCAAAAATATATGACAAAATAAAAAAAAGTAAAAATAAGTGAAAGTTAAATGATTTGGGGGTATAATAAAGGTCTGGATATGATGTGCAATGACTACAATTGAATGGATGGCAACACAGATTGTCTATTATAAACACCAAATCGAGATTTAGGGCACAAATCCTACACTCAATTCAAACCAGTTATGTAAGGCTAACATTGAATCCACAGTTTGTATGAGAGAAGAGTTGCTTTCATAGACTTCTTCAGTAGTGTAACACAAAAACTGTTATTCTTGCCAATGATTTCAATCACATAACTATCAATTTGTTTACCAAATCATTGTATAATATTAAAACTTCTCGACTTTCGCTTTAATGTAATTAACTTGATTAAAAAGTTTGAGAACTCAACTTGTGAGTCCAGTTTTTAGTTGTTGTGTTAAGTGTTATATAAAAAAATATTTGGAAAAAGTTGTTAATTGGAAATAAGGATTCATTGAAAAGTGAGGAACTGTCGTGAGTTGTGTGGAGTGATCGTTAGAGTAGACTATAATATAGTGTAATAATAGTACTGATAGTTTGAGACTTAGAGTTAGACTATAGTTAGAAATATCTGTCAAAATGTTGATGACGTTATCTCGAGCTTGTGTTACACCAAATGGTAAGCCGGGACACAAAATGCCGAATAAACAAAAGGTTATCACAGATAATGACACCGAAGCAGATCTGTCCGACAAAGGTATCAACGCTTTGGAGGAAATTCCAAATATTAGTGAGTCTTTCGATTGTCTTTACATATGATTTGTATTTAAATCCCAATCCCAATAACATTAGTGTTAACGCATAGGGCGTTGGTTTCCCTAAGACAGGCCTTATATGGCTTTTCACTGACTTTGCTATAAAAGGACATTACGCTCATTCATTATTAACCAATTATTCATTGATACACTTATCAAATATATTATTCAATGTATTAATTCATGATTTTGTCTCATTGTCCCAAATATAGTGTATTCACATAATATAACTCGTCTCACACTAAGCCATAATAAAATCAAAAGTAAGACTTAATTGAGTTATTTATAACTCATTTCCACAAATACACAGATTTTTGTCAACTTTTGCAACAATTGATACATTTCTGGAAATGATATTACAATTTGCATAAAACATCACAAAATTCATATTAAAACACATGAAAACATAAAAGTAATTGAATTAATGATGTGATGATCAGGTCTTCCGCCATCGATGGCAAACCTCTCGAATTTAGAACAATTGAATTTATGTAATAATCAGATCGAGGAACTGCCTACTTCACTATCATCCATGACCAGACTCAAAGTGCTGAATCTCGGGTATAGCCAACTTTCACCCACTTTCTTATATTGAGACAATCTAACGATAATGACCACTGAATCTGATGCCCAGAATGAATCGACTCAATTCACTTCCCCGAGGATTTGGAGCCTTTCCCGCACTCGAGGTCTTAGATATAACATACAATTTCCTGTCTGAGAAATCACTGCCGGCTAACTTTTTCATGATAGGTATATCACTAAACAATATAACACTAAGTGTTGTGTACTTTCTTTAATCGTTGCAATTATTTGCAATTTTAGAGACTTTGAGAGCACTTTATATGGCGGACAATGAATTTGAGTATTTATCGCCAGACATCGGTAACCTTAAGAATTTACAAATTGTAAGAATCGGTGATTAAGTATTGATGGCAATATGCTTTTAATGGAAACCATTATTATCTAACAGTTAGTATTGCGAGACAACGATCTCATACTCCTTCCCAATGAAATCGGACTCTTGAGTCGTTTGAGAGAACTTCACATTCAGAACAACCGATTAACGTAACCATTGGTTGGCTTTCCATGCAATCCATATATCATATTATGTTTCATTGATTCAATCACAGGGTTCTTCCTCCAGAAGTGGGTCAGTTAGACCTGTGTTCACATCGAAGTGTAGTTCGTATGGACGGTAACCCATGGGTGCCACCGATTGCCGATCAGTTGCAGATTGGAGTCACTCATGTCATTGAATACATCCGCACCGACACCTATAAATTGTGAGACAATTCAATGCCATGCTATCTATTTGTAGTGAATTTAACTCAATCATTGTGTCGGACAGTCTGTACGGCCGTCACTCGCAAACAATGACCCCATCGGCGATCCCTCCGCGCAATGACGAGCGAAGAGCGCGAAAGTTGGCCCGAAATAAGCAAAACCCGTATAAATGTAATTAATTGAGCGTTAATTGAATGGAAACTTCGATGCATTTGACACTGTATTTGACAACTGGTCTCAAGAACCATATTAACAAAAAGACTAAACCCAGAGATTACTCATTTATAGTCACGATTGCCTTCAAATGTTCATAACTTTTGTCTTTTTGGCAATTTTTGTCTTTTCAAACAAATTGTTTTGTACTTTCAAACTGTTAAACAAGTAATCAAAGTAATAGTCCATTAATTGCCGCAATATTCAACTGCTGTTAGCCATCAATCGATTGCCAAATAATTTATAAGAAATGCTTTACAAAAAGAGTTTACATTTATTTAAATTAAAGCTAAATAATACTAACATTTAATATACAATTCATTGTAAACATTATGAAAATGAAAATAAAATGAATTCAAAATTACTATCATTTCTGAAGAAATGTCTCAAATGTTGTAAAACTAAACACTTTTAGCGTGTGAATGACAATCACTTAATTTGATCCGTTTATTGGGCGCCACATCAGAGTGTGGTTCGGTGTGAATGGTTTGAGTGGCAAATGATTGGCTCTTGTGATGGACACCATCTGATGGAGTGGCGAGAGTG